AGCTAGAGTACCTGCACTACGAACTCCCACCAGAAGACTTCTATTCATGGAGATTCTTTCTGACAGGATATACTAGCTCATTTTATTTGACCTTAATATTGATATCTAATTTTCTCATCATTGATTTTAAGCAGGCATCGAGATATACATCGAGGACGTCTTTTACCCTTATTTTTACCACTCTTTGTCGTCCTAGATGGCCAGTTCATCTTTATCTGGTACCATACCCTAAACCCAAAACCCTTGTTTTCAATCCTCATGCATTCTCTCTTTAGTTTATATCAGCAGATATGTGCAAAAACGTCGGAGAGAAGAGGAGCGACTCAGTTTTCAGTCACTCACGAGGAAGACTGAATGGAATTGGGAAGGAAGAGTATCAGAAACCTTATTAAGCTTTACAAGACTGATTTTAATTGGTAATTTCGTGTTCTCTATGACTTTATATCTAAAGGTGTTCCCTTTTTCAAAAAAAAAATGAATGAAAGAGAGGAAAACAAAAAGCCTAATGAGTCCTAGATTGTCAAAATTTTTGGAGCAAGATTTTGAAAGATTTACAAAAATCTAAGTTTGGGGGAGTTAGGAGAGAACCTGAGGAAGAAGACTGGGAATCTATGGCAAGAAGAAAGTGACTGAAAAATGTGGATACCAACAGCTTCACTCTCTCTTGCGGTTTTGCATAATATCTTGCATCCTTCAGATCTTTAGGTAACCCATAAACACTTTAAGCCTCACCCCTAGAATAACCCTTTTGACACCTAGCCTAGATTGCCTTGCTTAACCTTTCTTTGATGAGAACCACCGAAATTCTTAATGAATGTTAAGAGCTAGTTGACTGAAAGTTAGATCTTAGTGCAATAGGTTTCCGCATAACAGATTAACGGACTAGTTATGCCCGTATTGCTAGTGAGAATTTTCTAGGCTATTCCCGATTGATGCATAATGATTGATATTGGTCTAGAAGTTTGGTCTCTGAGATTTTGTTTAGTTCCTGCGTTTTCAAGCCTCTCACCGAGATTTGGCCTTTGGTTTGTTTGAGGACAAACAAAAGACTAAGTCTGGAGGAGTTGATAACACCGGATTTTGATCATTTTTATGGATCAGTTTAATGTCTTTTACAGGTGTTTTTACTCCATTTTCAAAGGTTTTCAAAGGATTTCTATGTTTTCGGATTTTAAAAGACTTTTCAGGACAAACAAACAAAAGACTAAGTCTGAGGGAGTTGATAACACCGGATTTTGACCACTTTTATGGATTACTTTAATGTCTTTTACAAGTGTTTTTTCTCCATTTTCAAAGGTTTTCAAAGGATTTCTATGTTTTCGGATTTTAAAAGACTTTTCAGGTAATTTGGGATAAAGAGGCACAAATTGGAAAAAAAAAGACTCTTTTGGATAAATGCATACCGTCAAAACTCTCATGGAGAGATGAATACCTTCTCACCGTCTGAATACCCTCAAAATTGGAAAACTTATAGAAGAATCAACCAGCTTTCAAATGCACTTGGTTTTGAGGCATTCCAACGGTTAGATCTCAAGATATTCTATTTGCCCCAGAGACACTCAAAGACAGCCAGCAAGTCATGCGACCGCGGCCACCAACCTATCCACCGCGGTCACAAGCCTCCCGACCGCGGCCAGACCTCTGTTTTCCACGGCCACGTTACTCCCGACCGCGGCCGGCCAACTCCGGTTAAAAACCCATATTTATGAAGCCTAAAGTCATTTCTCTGCCTCAATTCTGGAACCGTAGAGACCATGGAGTATTGAAAACTATAAATACTCGTCATTTAGGTCGTTTTTAGACATCACCTTCATACTTTTACAGAAACCCTTTTCCTTCAGTCGTTTTATGCGATTTTTAGAGAAGATTGTTCAACTTTGAGTTCTTGAATAGATAAGCTTTCTTTCATCTCTTTTCTTTACTGTTTTTGATTGCTTTTGTTAAAACCAATGATGATGTCGACCTCAGGCATGTCTGAATAGATCCTGAGTTGGACTTAGGGTTCCCGAAAGGGCTCTCATAATCGATTAAGACATCTAGGTTTATAGATCTGGGATTTTAACTTTGTTCTCTGTTTATTCTCGTTCTTATTGCATGTATGCTTGATTGATCACCTTGTATCTGATCTAGATAGTTAGTGTTGCGAAAGTTTTCATTAAGTATCCGACCTAGAATGAAACAGCCGATTTTTCCGTATGAGTAGAAACCTACCTGCGGCGAAATCGTGAGTACTGACGAGTCCTGTGCAGCTCCTTGAATTCTCTTCTCTCCAGGGCCAGAGTGGAAATCTATTGGTCAGGGTTGCGAGAAACAGTTGGTTATGATCACGACAGGGACGTAGTCATACCGCCATACTCTAGCTCTAGAACCCTATATTTTGAAATCCGTTAATCCAAATCTTTAATCCCTAGTGCTAAAACCGATTATGATCCCTGTAGAGTTTCCAAAAGCTCAGCGTTTTAGCCATAGTTTACAAACCAATCGATTTTTACTTGCTCATTTAGATCTGCATTTCATTTGCTTTAGTTTGATATTCTGCTTGTTTCATTTGCCTGTCATTCGATTTTCTATTTGCTTTTTAAGATAGATTTATTTGCTTTTTTGTTTTAGTTTAATCCGTGACCAACAACCAACCCCTAACACCAATCTAATCTAGACATAAAGTTAGAAACCGTAGAAGAATACCAGACAAACAAATCTATGTGGATTCGATCCCTAAGTACTACAATTGATTAGATGTGCACTTGTGACTTTCATTTGTTTTTATTAAGGGTAAAACTTATTTCCTCACGCAGTAGACACATCAGTAGATACCAAGCTTTTATCGAGTATCATATTGTGTGTGATAACTTTTAAATACTTTTTTATTAACAATCAAGAAAAACACAAATTTTTTTCTTATTTTACTATTTTAATGAGTATAAATGATATTTGATATCTTTTAGTTATTTCTTAATAAACTATTAAATTAGTTTTTTGGTATATATTAAGATTTCAAAAGTTTATTATCACACTTAAATTATGCTTAAACCACCAATTATTTTTTATACTATAGTAAATATTATATTAATATATGTGTTTATGCTATAATAAATATTATATTAATATATGTGTTTATGTTATAGTAAATATTATTTTAATTTTTTTATAAGTTTAACTCGTAGAAATATTTTTAAATTTCTAATGCTTGTAGGTTAGTATATTGTAATATTAAAAAGATAACTAAAAAATAACAAATAATCTATTAGTATTTAATAAAAATGGTATTGATACGAAAAAATTAGTATATGTTTCTTTTCTAATAAAAAAAATATTTCTTATTTTAAATTTTTGTTTTTATATTAATTTTTAAAGAAAACCGAAAAACAATATTAAAATTTACATTTCTTTCTTAATTAATTGCATATTATTTTATATATAATTAAATTGGTATTTTGTTTAAGAAATATTCTTGATTTGATGATATTTTAGGTTTTTGTTGTTAATGAAAATTTTATACATAATTCTCTTATTCTTTTATATATATATATTATTAACATTTATATTTTAATTAACAATAATATTAATTTTTAAAAATTTTCTTAATTTTGAATATTGATGTGAACCAATAAAATTGTCTTTTTTAATCCTGTGTGGTTTTAGAGTCATTTAACTTCAACTTTTATTAGTAATAGGATAGGATAGTATTTGATTCATACTTTCTGATATTTTGAGAAATTTCTTAAATCAGATTTGTTTTTATGAAAAAAAAAATCATTTGATACAATAGATTTAGAAAAAAGAATTTAAGAAAAGAAACAGATGTTTTTTTTTTTTTGCAACATAGAAAAGAAACAGAAGTTTTGTAACATATTGTTGTAGTTAAGACTTTGCCGAAATTAAAACCTACAGGATTATGAGTTTTATGTAAATCGATGAGTATTCTTTTCATATAGTAGAATTGCAAATAATAAAAAGATCATCAATCTGACCTATTATAAAGATATGCTCTTATATTTATTTTACGTGGTTGGCTTACACCAAAAAAGCATAATTTTGAAAAGAATTTGAAGATACCACCAAAATTGTTTGATTTAAGATTTGTTTTATCTTAGATACACGTGTATACTGATACTAATACGTGCATTCTTACCCATAGAAGCATTCAAACAATCAGCATAATATGATAATATCCTAACATTTTTTAACAATTTATTATTTAATTATTATCTTTTCAATTTTGTTAATATAGATATATATTGACTGATATTAATTTGCTCAATAAATAATTATTTAGTAAGCTTTTGTGAAAGAGATTTCATTAGTAAACAAACTTGCTTTGTTGTTGCAATTAAAACAAATATTTGATAGATTTTATTCCTAAAACTGATCCCAACAATATTCTTGAACTAAACAACTATCATGTCATAAGGTTAGAGAAGATAAACATTCATGAATTTACATGTTTTGTTAACATATCTTCTCAGAATGATAATATGCTAACATTATCCTCGTTTAATCATTAAATTTAATAAATTATAAGTATATTGACTGAAATTAATTTTGCTATATAAATGGTAAATGTATAGAGCTGGTTGTATTGTTTATACTCACCAAATACTTGTTTATATAGTAATATAATCCCAGTCAACATATAATATATATATATATATATACTAATAAATATAAGGAGTTTAATGATTAAATTAGAATAAAAATGTTAGCATATGTCGATGATGATAAAATTCAAACATACACACAAGAATAGGAATGTTTAGCTGTCAAAAAAGTTACATGAATTGTTTATATTGGTAAGAATATACGGTTAAATGACTATACGACACATATAGTTAAAGGTCAACAAAATCTTAAATCAAATAATTTTAGGATTATTATTTTTTTTTAAATGGTATTAACCTAAACAATTCATCTATAAAAGAACCACCAGCTCTTAGTTTATGCACTTAGTATTTTACAAAATATTTCATAGTACTTTAGGTTGTAGAAAATTTTAATAAAAGATGACGTCCTCGAAATTTCATTTTGTTGTTCTACTTCTCATAATTACTTTGATTGTTAATGTTCAATCCACTCGTAAGTTGTTTTTTTCATGATGTTTAGCATGTTTTCCATAATATATATATATATATATATATATATATATATATATCATTTCATTACTAAAACATGTATAATTGTTTATAAGAAACAGAAATACTGGATAATTTAAGCGATTGTGAATTCAAAGGACCATGTCAAAAGAAACAAGATTGTTACGATAGGTGTGCAGTGAACAAACCACCATTTAAAACTGTTTTGTGTGAACCTTATGGAAGCGCTCGTGTTTGTTGTTGTATCTAAGAATTATAACCTAATTTAACTGAAAGTATATTTTATGCCTCAAACAAAACTTTTTCAATAAAATATATTTACACAATATTATACTTTTAAGTATTACGTATACATGTTTTAGGATGGATTAAAATCCAGAAAATTGATATATAAATTATCTATCTAAATCGATAGATGCAGAATTGTATAATTTTTATTTTCTATTACATATATATGCAATATTAAATATTAAAGACAATATAAAATATTTCTCTTCTTAATTCTATATTTAATATACGTGTGTAGTTGTTTATATAAATTTGTGTCAAAATTGTAAGTACAGCATGTTTGACTAAAATCAGCAGTACCAACAGTACTGGTGCACTTACATCTTATATTTGCGATTTCTATAGGAAAATCACCAACAGATAGCTCCATCTGTTTGGTGGGACGACGCCACACACACATCATATGCATCACATAACAGAATTTTAGGCGCGTCAATCTTTTTTATCACTGTCTCGTCCTATTTAAACTCCTCACATGGAAACCCTAATTCACAAGCCCATGTCATCATCACCTCATGTCCACATGACTTCACTTATGAGCTAGAAGCCCAATGCCACATCACCATGTTAGCTTTTCATCTTCTTAGATCTTCTTACTGACACTCCAATGCCACATCATCATGTATCTTTGGCAATTAATCTTCGTTCTCTTTTATACTAACTCTCGAACAACATCTATTGTATCACACACAAATTTTTTGTGCAACACACGAACAACTTTTGTTCTTTCATTCTCCTCCTTTTTATTTGAGAGTGTCAACTCAAGCACATTAGTGGACACAATCAATAGCTACACAGCGGATTAAGTTTTAAGTAGCAATCTTAATCATTGCTTCACATTCTCCCCTTGCTTGAATGTACACTCGTATAAAAACCACCACAATAAGAACACGTCTTGGATTATGAATCTCTAACATCAGTCACTTCACTTCCATCCTCACATATGTGTTCCTCTTAGGAGCACAAACTGCTTTATATTGATGTTATAAGATCATGATTAATCTCACAGGTTATCTCCAAAATCTTCGTTGTAGATTTTAATACCCATTCCTTATTCTTTCACTAACACATGAAGATCATTACTCCACCTGAAGCTATAATTGCTTGTTATGCCTCGTTCTTTCATCAGTCTTGTGGATTCTCCTCAAACCTGCACCAAATAAGATTAACCAAGAACATTCTTACATACCAGAGAGTACGCTTTTCTTTGGGCTTTTACAGCTCAGTTAGCAGACTTGTTAAATCTTAGAACAATCGACCCAACATCAAAAATTTACCACTGTCGGCAATAGAAGCAGGATCTGAGCCTGTGTACGCACAAAACAGTCTATTGTTGATGTGGTAGCTGTTCTAGGATCAATTGAAAAGTCGATGGAAATTCCGAACAACTTCCGTCCAGAACACAAACTCTTTAAACTTCTGCTGCCCTGCACAGACTGTCTCAACTTCAACAAAACGCCCATCTCACATCCAAGCTCCAAATGAGCTCTCCTTTGGCAAAAAATAGTTCCATATGCCCAGAATAAACCTGTCTCAGAATTACTTGAATAAATATCAGAATAGCCGTTGAAATATCAATCCCACCGTTGATTCTTAAGACACTAGTGCCAAGCAGCTTACCACCAAGTTTCATCCCGATCAGAACATATTTGAGCCTCCAAACACAGCTCTGAAGTTGATTTGATAGTCCAGACTCTTTTCTCCTACATATAAACTCCCATGAGCAACCTTAAGATGAGACATTGTTATGCTTGAAACCTGCATATTCTCTTAACTACGCTTGGTTTTCTCACTCCTGCAAAAATAACATGACACTCCAACAGTTGCATCTTCTTCATGGCAATCCTTTTCGATCACAACAGCTGCATATATCAGACATTTCCGTCATCAGACACAATATCCATATATAAATTCCTTCAGATTTTAAGAAATAGAGCAGCAACAGATTCTTGAATCTCAAATGTGATGACCCAACTCTCAACTACAAGACACTTCAGCTTAATGGGTTACAAAACTCTTATCCTAAATCCTTATATCGTATCATCACTCTCCTCTTCGACTAGGAGCTTGTCCTAAAACTCCAACTCTGAATATTCCTAGCCTGCTTCTCTGCGTCCTCCTACATATTCCACAAAGTTTTCTTCTTCGAGTGGTTCGTCTTCTTGGTCTTCTCCGTCCATGACTGGTGTTATGTAAAAAAGGACCGAGTTACAAACATGATCTCGAGTGAAGAGCTCATCGCAATTGAAACAAAGTCCTTTTGCTCGTCTTTCTGCCATTTCTGCCCTAGTCAACTTCTTCCAATACTGCTTTTGTGGAGTAAGTTTTGCTTCCTCTTGTGGATGTAGAGGCGCTTCCTTCTCTCGTCCGTTGGTCTCTGGCATTTTTGACCGATTTTTTTGAACTAAGTGTTGAGCTAGTGGAGCCATATGTCCTCCAAACGTTCGCACTCGCTTGTCTCCCTCAATCTTGTATTCATTGTCTCGAGCATACTCCATTGCTTCAAAGATTGTCTCGGGACGAAGGTATTCAACTTCCTTGCGCAAGCTATCTGTCAATCCTACACAAAACTGCCATAACTTTTGATCTCCCGAGAGTCTCGTCTGACGACCAAGACACTCTTCAAATTGATTACAGTATCCATTGACTGTCCCGGTATGTCTTAAGTTAGACAACTCTCCCACTAGATTCACCATATCTACTTTTCCAAAACGACTTTTACAGATTTTTTTGAATTCAGCCCACCCTAGCCTGTGTGTAACCAACTCCGGAGATTTGTATACCAATGATATGCTTGTCTTGTGAGAACAAAGGTTGCTTGTCGAACTTTTGCGTCATCATTGAAGACTCTCTGATCCACAAAGTAATCATCACACTTTTGCAGCCATTCTACAGCATTGGTAGTACCATCATACAGAGGAAATTCCATCTTGGACGGTGGCACTTCCCACCCATAATAACTGTTTCCTCCTGCCTCTTTCATCCCATAAGTGCATCCCCATCCAACTTCCTCTTGCAAACGAAAGTCTCCTGGTGCACAGCTTGGGTGAACTTCATTTGGTGGTACTCCGATTGGCCTAACGGTCCAATCACTTCCTCCATCCATTCGACGATGACTTCGATCCCAGCCAATTGATCGTGTTGGCCACGGTTCTCCTGACTAAGGCAATTTCTGGGTGCCTCCAGCAGTTCCACCGCTTCCTCCTGATAATTCTTTGTCCTTCTTTCCCGGTGGAAAATTTTTCTCATCACCACCTGTTGGAGAACAACTGGTTTTACTTTTCTCTTGATGTGTATAGACATTCCTTTTCCACCAACTGAATCTCTCGGCTTTCCTGTAGCAGAAAACTCCCCTGGTTTGGTAGTTAACACAACGTGTTCTGCCGAGAGATTTTTGAGCAATGTCGCATGTTCTTCACATAACTCTGTTATTGCTGCTTGCATTTGGTCACGAATCATCATTTGTGCTGTTGTGGTTTCTTCCAACGCTGCCTGGTGTTCATCTGTTTGTTTTTGAAGCTCTCCCATTGTTGATTGACTTGGATTCAATCTCTCATCCATTGCCTGGATAAACTCTTGTTTCATCTCCTGTTTTAGGTTCTGCATCACCTCGTCAAGTTTTTCTAGCGGTACCGACATTGATTCAGTGTCCCCTATTAGATCGCCTTGCTCTGATACCAAATTGTTATGAGCCTGCAACTTTGATTTCAATCTCGTAACTGGAGCCGTAGTTTTAACATGAGAACTAGAAAAGATTTAGCTAAGCTTCCTATAGCCCAAGTCTCTCTTAGAGAATTAGGTTATTTGTTGGAAGTTGATTTCTTATTCATCATAAGAAATCCTTATATAGGGATACAACTTAAAAGCTAAAAGGAAAAAGCTTAAACCTACTTAAAAGGAAAACATGAAAACCAATTGTGAAAAGGAAAATAATCAAAACTCTTATTGTAAATCCTTATATCGTATCACTGTAATCCTCAGAAAATCTTCCCCTCATCGTGAAATAACAATCATTAAGTGTTTGATCAACCTTTAACATTCTCAGCTTAGAAAACTTTGATGTTTATTTCTTCTGATATTAACCTGATTTCTCCGAAGATTGACCATCTCTTTCTGATTTGCAGCAAGAATTTATTGAGAAGCGCCTGTTTTTCTCAAGCGGTAAAACTAGTTTACACCACTTTAAGTACAAACCCATACATTAAGTACGACGAGGCAACCAATTCATAAAGCTCAAACTTCTTCTTCTCCAAGTCGAGACTTTTATCCTCATCTCTTCTGGACCACCTGAGACGTCGACTTCCTATGGTGGTAATCAAACTATAGATATTGCAAAGCGACAATAAATGTGTTTCAGCTTCGCCTCCGCTTCAGCTTCCGGTGACTCTATGACCTTTTCAATTCAGCTAATCACCTTCAGATGTCATCTTTGAACTAGCGATGCTGCTGAACCCAGCCTTCTAAACTTTCTCGATGATGAAAATAGAGATTATCGTTGCAATCACCAACACCATCACTGCTTGTTCTAGTCCCACACATCGACCTGTCTACAGACCTCAGTCTTTCTCGATCCGTTGAACAACTGAGATGCTAGTTGAATCTTCTTTTGACCGATGCAGGCTAGAATCTCTGCAAGTTTCACTGATTGATACGTCGTGTTTAAGAGCAATCAGTACACTAAGAGCATACTAACTCTGAATCATCAAATTCGTCTCAACTCCTTATCTGAAATTTAATCCTTGATCTATGACAACAACAACAACACTTCGCCGGAAACTCTTGAATATCCTGCATAATCAACGACCTTGATGTTCTCCAAGGACACTAGAGAGCTCAAATTCAGCCCCAACCGTCAATTCAGCAACTCGTTACACAACCAAGTGATTACCAAGCTAGAAAGAGCTAATCTTTTAAGTGACATTTGAAGAATAAACTAGCTTTGCCTCGTCTTTTGTAACAGTA